CCATGCATTTGGCAAACTTTTTGCCAAAGTAGGTGTTTCAGTTAGTCAGACAGCTTTGGCAGCATTCAAGTACGTGCGATTTTGTGAGTGAAAATGTGATAAAAACAGCCAGTAAATATTTACTCAATAAACAATGGAGGATATAAAACTGGTTTATTATCAATTTTGAAAGAGCCCTTCAAAAGTACTCCTTCCCTCTAAAACCCTTTTTTAGATTTTATCATTTAAACCAAAAACTTGATTTTATTTTTTTTTTTTTTTGTGATTTTATATAATAGACCAGGGGTCTACAACCTAAGTGGACCTTTGGACCTTTCACAATGACTCTTCAGAACTATTGTTGAAATGATAAAAAAAAAAACAACAACTAATATTTAAAAGTAGATGTAACAATAACATGCACATTTTGCATTTGTTAAAATGAAAAAAAAAAAAGTTTTGCAAAAGAATTTCACATTTGCAAAAAAGCAGCTGCATACAATGATATGAAATATGGCATGTCTTAAAACCTAATAATAAAACTTAAATGTTGATTCTTTGAAAATTACTGAAGAAAATACAGTAGATATACACAATAAATGAGAGGGTGTCTTTCTTTCAAAAGGTGTTGTAACTTCTGTGACTAATTTTTTCTTTATCTCTACAAAGGATAAAAACTGTAAAGGTTGCAGACCTAAGTAATAGACCAAGGAATTGTGCATAATTGCAAAGATGAGGGAAAATACACTGCTTCCATAATTTTTAAATTAAAAATAGTCTGACAGCAATGAAAAAAAAAAATCCAGTGCAGAAATTTGCTTTATTTCACTTTCACATCACCCTGAATAGAGCAATCCTATGGTGAAAAATGGCATCGTAATGTGAATAATACGTAAACATCCTTAGTCAATACAGATGACACAGTTTCAGAGGTGAAAATGTTTGAAAAACCATGCAATAATTTCTATCTGCACCACTTTGGGTTGGTTTATCTCATTGAAATCACAAAAGCAGGATATCTGCTGTTTGTGATTGTAACGTAGAAAAATGGAAAACTTCAGGGGCTGTGAATACTTTTGCAAGGCGCCGTATGTTTTCTTCATACTCCATCCAGTTTTGCCTTCGCAGCTCTTACCCTCGTAGTGTAGGCGGCCTCGGGGTCGTCCTCCAGAACTCGGCTCAGGCCGAAGTCGGACACCTTGCACACCAGGTTGCTGTTGACCAGGATGTTTCGAGCCGCCAGGTCTCTGTGAACGTAGCTCATGTCTGACAGGTACTTCATACCCGAGGCGATGCCGCGCAGCATACCAACCAGCTGGATCACCGTGAACTGGCCGTCGTGTTTCTGAACCATTAATATCACAGGAAAAAAAAAAGAGGGGTCTGATTAACTCACAGCGGATGAAGACATTTCATCAACCAATTAAAACTACGTTTATGTTCGTTTTGTAGAAGAAAACAGATCAACGTACACGTAAAAAGGCATCCAGAGATCCGTTTTCCATATATTCCGTGATTATCATCAGAGGCTTGCCTAGTGAGGGGGAAAAGTTTGAGATATTCCAGTTAAACCGTGCTCCACAACTTTCATACAAAACCAGAACAACAGCACCACTTACACCTGGTGACGACACCCTCCAACCTGATGATGTTCGGGTGGTCAAACTGTCCCATGATGGACGCCTCGGACAGGAAGTCCCTCCTCTGTTTGTCCGAGTATCCTGCCTTCAGGCTCTTGATGGCCACGTAGATCTCCCTCTTCCCCTGCGAACGCAGCCGACCGCTGCACACCTCCCCAAACTCTCCTACACGTGCGCAGCAAAACAACGTCGGTGCCAAGCCAGCATGTGTGTGTGGGTTTGTGTGTGTGCTTGCGCGCCAAAGCGAGACTTACCTATGCCAATAACCCTCTCGATGTGAATATTGCTAACATCTATTTCCTTGGCAAACTCGTGGATGGCCTGATCCGGGTCCTCATACATAAATGGGTCCACATAGATTTTGACTCCTACCATGGAAGGGAGGCGGGAGCGGACGAGGAAACGAGGGAGGAGATGGATGAACGAAGAGGAGGGCGAGAAAACCGAGTTGTGTAACTGCATGTTATGTAAGAGTGCTTAGGAAAGTGTGCACAACAAACAGAATCTGAGCGATAATAAAGAGAAGGATTATCTCTAAAACTTTGTAAAATTCTCTCCTGTTACAATCGCACGCTTTAGTGCATTTCAGTCTGATTTGATGTGGTAGATAAAAAGTAAGTGCTCCATAAATATGGAGCTCAGGTAAATGGATACAACGGTTTCAAATTTTTTAAAACAACGTTAAACACTTGATAAAAGCTGTGAAACTCCTAAAAAAATTTTTTTTAAATTGAACAATGTGGTCAAAAATTGCTACATGAGAGGAAAACACACTATCGCATCATGAAATCTGGTGGTGGCAGAATCAGCCTTTAGGTCAGAGCTGAAAACATATGGAGACAGATATAGAGCGATTGTAGGAACTGTTTGAGGCTCCAAATGATTTTAATGAGTTTTACAATCCATCAGGACAACAAACCAATTATAGATTACAGTCTGAGCTACAATAGACATGCTCAGGTTAAAGGAAATAATCTAGTCAAAGCCTTGACCTAAATCCAATTTGGAATTGGTGTCAAGACTTGAAAATTGATGTTCCCAGATACTCTCGGTTCAATGTGAGCCGGTTTAAAAGAAACAACGGAGGAAACATTCACTCTACAGAAATGCAAAGCTGGAGGAGACATTCCCCTGAGGAAAAGGTATGTGGTTGTAAAGGGACCCATCCAGAAAACATTAAAGAAGCATGAATATTTTTACAAAGCACTGTATTGGCTTCTTGTGTGTGTTCAGTACCTGGGTTCAGATGTTTCTCCTCTTCCGCGTCCTGCTTGGTTTTGCTGTACTTGCTCCTCCTGAGGAGTCAAACACAACGCATTCTTCACACAAAGACCAGCAACAAACGCTAAAAGTTTGGTTACTTCCCAAGAGTCTCGTATGAGTTTTGCAGCGACGTCACTTGACAAAAAGCGTACATGTCCTACATTTGTTTTTAATATTTTTTTGTCCTTTCTCAGAGCTGCTCTTAAGTTGAGTTTTCCTTCTAAGGATTTCTAAGGCAAACAGAAGGCGACAACAATGAGAAGGAGAGAGCGACGGCCTGCAGGGAAGCACCAGATGAAAGCATTTTTAGGCACAGAGGGAGGAGGGGCGACGCCTCAGGTAGCGGCAGATAAAAAGGTGTTTTCTATTAAACAAAGAAACTGTCAAAACCTCCTTTTCTTTCTGAACAGGTGTGAGTGAGTGTGTGTGTGTGTGTGTGTGTGTGTGTGTGTGTGTCAGTGAGTTTGGTTGTGGACACAGGAGCGTGTTTGCGCGCGCGCGTGCTTCCCGGCTAACATGTAAACCGCGCAGCTGAACACATTAACAGCAAGTCTGGGACAAAGGGATAATCACTGTCTCCACTCTAATCCCCCTTTAAAAAAAAGCTGCAGGTAACACAAGTTGTTTAATCTCACTGTTGAAGGAGAATCCGGAGACTTGTGTGTGCGTTGCTGGGTACTGGATATAAAAAAAACAAACAAAAAAAACAATGCTAATTTAATTTTTATGTGGTAGTCCTGTTTAAAGCAGGGCGTTCTAGATGAATTTAAACTTCCTTTATCTTTCCCAACTTAAAATTAAAACATTTCCGACCAGCGCGAACAGTTTCTGCTGCTGCACCTCGTTGCCTTTGTGTCGTACCCTTGTTTGCTTTCTCAGTGGAATATTGTCTGTGTTTCAGCATGTAATTGCGTGCATTGATCCTGTTGGGTGTATTCTCTTGGTAATCTGCAGTGATTAGCTGTTCCAACAGTCTAATCCTAAAAGAAGGTTACATTTATTGATTGTTGAAGAGTAGAAACATTTTTTTGTTGTTGTTGTTCCGGGGGAATAGGAGGAGGGCAGCTTTATGAGCCAGAACATAAACAGAAACAGTTGGAACAACGGGCAGATTTAGAAAGCGAAGAAGGAAGGGAGAAAGGAGGAAAGGAAAGGAACGGAAAGGAAAGGAAAGAGTTGTAGCTTAGCAATATATCAATCAAATCCATGTTTTTCCCAGACCTTTCCAGATGGTGCATTAAACCCTGCTAACAATGATCTCTTGCAAAAGTAAAGTGCTTTTAGATAATGGAAAGTCGCTTCGTAATTAGGACTCCTCTGTTACTCTTCTATAATGTCCCCCTGAATAACACTTAGACTAACATAAAATACTAAGACACTAATCGTAACCACTCTAAGTAACATAAAAAGGACAAGGACGACTGTTTTGACTGAAGTGTGACCTTGTGTGTTTCTATACCTGCGACTTATGATGAAGACAGCCGCCGATATGAACAGTAAGACTCCCACCCCACTGACAGACAGCAGCAGGAAGGCAGAGTTCACGCCTTCTCCGATCAGTGGAAAGGGATCTAACAGAAAGAGATGAACATTTATCTTTTTTTTATTTAAATTAATACTACCGATTGAACGTTTTGTCCTAAGGCTACAGAGTATGCCTGGGTTAGCACCTGAATTGGTGGAGAATTCAAACGGAGCGCTGTACTCGCCGTATCCCGCGGCGGTGCGAGCGCGAACATGAAACACGTACACAGTGAGCGGGTTGAGGCCCGCCACGTCCACACTCCGGAGGAAGGTCCTCATTATGCGGTACGACCTCTCCCTCTGATCCTGATTAAACGAGAAAAAAAAAAAAAAAAACACACTGTCTCTTTCAAATGTCTGACAGCAAAGTCCATCCACACCAGGAGTGAAACAGAAACCGCGTCCCAACGTGTTGACATTCACGCAGCTGTCTGGGCCGCGTTAACCTATGGGGGCCGCTCACCTTTTCGTAGAACTTGACCTCGTACTCCAGGATGACCCCATTTGGTCGGTCGGGCTGTTGCCATGCCAACGACAAGCTGTGCCTTGTTACGTCGGTGAGTTGGATGGATGAAACCGGAGAGGGAGCTGAGAGGAAGCGAAAGATGAGTAGAGATTAAACAGTGGCACAGCTTTTTTTTTTTTTTTTTTTGAAGCGTGTCTACTGAAATTGTAAAATGACACTTTCACTGTTCTGGATGCGGCTAACAGCGCATTCACTGAGGTTTTTTTTAATCAAAGTCTCTTGGAGCCAGTGCACCTCATTACTTTCTATTCCCTCGACACCTGCCTCGTTTTACTCTCACGACTCTCCGTTTCTCCATCATTTTTATCCGCATTCGTCCTTTTTTATTTTTTTATTTTGTGCCTGTTCGCATCATATCGGACCATATGGCAGAGCAGGTTGGACTTGACACATCCCAGGCACACACTCTCATGCTGTGCAGACACAGCAACTTATTTCCCCAAGGCACCTGGAACTAAGCAGGTGTGCTGGTATCTAAATGCCACCATAAAGACTTGCAGCAACGACGCTTCAGATGTAGCAGCACGCAAAAACAAAGCGAATAAAAAAAAAAGGGGGCGAGGGGGCTTCCACTAAAAACTAATAAAGAGCACGTGCGAGGGAGACGCCACACATAAGCTGACTCCTTCACAAGGAAAATGAAACACTTCATAAAATGCGGGTGATTTTTCTAACGCTTCTTTGGATCCGTGCTGAGGGTAAGAAAAGCTCCAGCTCTGCTTGTACCAGCGCTGTTGTTCAGTTACTTCCTGACCGTCATGATTTGTGTTTTTCTCCCCCTCGTCAACTTTTTTTTTTTTTTTTTTTTCTTTTTTCATTAAAGTCAGGGATTTCCTGAATACTTTTGACACCATCTCAAGAGCCCCCCCACCCCCGCAGCCCCCTGTAATTAATTCAGTTGTTTGGTGTGGGAGGACAAAGTAATAACTATGAACGATATAATGGTGATACTAGGAACAACAGTTTCCAGTGGAGGCAGAGGAGGCAAAAAGTGAAAATCCAAATCCAGTGTGCGGTTGATATGAATGCTAAAGGCGTTCCGCTGTCAGCTGCAACGCCATGCGTGCTCGTTTAGCGAGCTAGCTATGCGCTAGCTTGACTTTTATACAGGTGCGATGAAAAATAAAGCACATCCCATAGAAATTTTACAGTTTAGTGTCGTCAATGTTTTTGGGATGTGCTTAATTTTTTCCACACATGAGCAGCTCCAGAGAAGGTAGAAAAACAAGCTTTGAGTCTTTTTTTTTTTTTTTTTAAATGTTTGCATTTTTTAAGACTTTATAGTTGGTGTTCAAGTATTAATCTTCCAATCTAGTTACATAATTATCAAGTGATATTTTTCAAATTTCCCGTCAGCTTTAAACATTTTTTTTTTAACTCAAAAACACGACGGATCGCTGGGCCAATGACTGCCCTGGTGTTCAATCACCAGGCTTAGCAAGTTTTCTGGGGAAAACCTTGAAACAACTTGTTACTTCTTAAAAAAAACCTCATTGAAATGTTTTTTTTTTTAATATATTATTTTTACTATTACTGGAAATGTTGCAAATTGTTAGATCTTTGTAAAGTTTGTCTGTTGTGGAGGGGTTTCATAACCTCTACCTCTGTTTTAGCTTAGCTGTAAGGTAAGTTTGACCAACTTATGAAAAATAAAGATGTGTTTACATTTATGTTTCTTTTTTTTTATTAATGTAATGTTCTATTTTAGGGAGAAGTACACAATTTGATTTCAATTTCCATACAATTAACACTTTTAAAACAAGATGAGGTGTAAGAGGACCTTTCAAAGCCATCTGCGTTTATTATGTCGTTTACCCTTTTCAATGCAAATGTGTGACAGCTATAAACCACAAGTGTCCATCTGCTAATGGAAATGAAGGCCTAAATGCTTAATGTAATGCAACATAATGCATTTATGTTTATTTCAGTCACATGGTTGAAGCTCTTCTTGGTGGAACTAAACAGGGCATGCACCTGCAGATGCTCCATTAAAACAGTGAGCAACCTTACGCCTACACCGGCGCTCCGATTTTCTCACCCGGTTACAAATGTTGGACACCCACCTATCTTAGATTTAAAAAAAAAAAGACGACTCCAGCATCAGTAAGATAAAGCACTCAAATGCTATGTTAAACTCAGCTCATGAATCGGAAAAGTAAAGAAGTGCATCTATGCCAGTGTCACTGGAGTTAATCAACAGCAACCCTAACCCTAACTATTTTAATTTTGGCTCCAAACAATCACAGAGGCAACTACTTTTAAAATCGGTTGAAATCCTGGAGTAGGCCTAGAGTCAGCAAAGTCTTTTCAAGAAGACATGATCAACAATAAACCTAAGCCTTAAAATATAATTATAGCAGTTTTTTTTATGTTTCTCAAACATATTTACCACAACAAGATTAAAAAAAACCACTGAGACGCTATTTTTTGAAAGGTATACAAATCTTGCTCTTTTCATGCTTCCACAATTTTGACCATTACTCATGGGATCTTGCCTCCCTCTGGGCACGCAGCAAACAGCAGTTTGTGCTCAGCTGACCCACTTACGGAGCACTTCTTTATAAGCAGATTTCTCGTTATTACTGGAGTCAACAATCTGACACGTTTATCACACGCAGCACTTCTTCCCCTCACCTGCTTGGTTGGTGGTGAGGCTGACTGATGCGCTCTGTGATGCCCCTGCGCCGCTCACCAGGGAGACCCCGTTGCGGGCGTAGACGACGAAGGTGTAGTGTGTGTGGGCCCGGAGCCTGCTCACTACCATCCTGGTGGTCTGAAGGCCGGTCTGGTCCGGAGAGAAGAGCACGTCTGAGCCGCAGGGGAGACAAAGCTGGGTGCCGGAGGCAGACTCCGATCCGGGCCACGGGTATTCACCGGGCCCGCTCTGGAAAACCCCTCTGCCGAGCTGAACCTCAGATCCTACAATCCCTTGGTCCGACTGCATTCCCAGGCTGCTGTGCTGGACCTCAGGCTGGGAGACCGTGTGATTTCGTGGAGGCTGACCGTGGCTTCCGGTTTGACATATGAGACACTCCAGACTGTAACTGATGTCGCTTCTGCCTCCCAGCCGCCGAGGGGGTGCCCACTCCAAGACCACCGATGTTTCGTTCACTACAGAGATAAGCTGCTGTGGTGCTGAGGGAGGCTCTGGAGATAAACATAAAACCAAAACCGACTGTATTTATATCTGCATCACATAAGGAAGGAGGAACAATAAGAAAGCAGAGAGGTATTTCAGGGGGCAGTCCTTGGCTTAACATGAAGACATCTGGTATTACGCTGAAAACCATATGGCTCTGGGATGCTTTTGATGGTTTGGTTGTTTTCTTTTTTGGAATCTAATGTTATGTGTGTGCGTGTGCATGAGAGACTCGCGTACAAGTGTGCGCTCATTTTTCCCAGGCGAAGGAAACCATGTGCTGTATATAGGCATAATTAGGTTTAAGACACACAGAGCAGCGTCTTCAAATCTCTCGCACAGACTCAGAGAAAGAGTAGGTGCATTTATTCAGTCCTCAATGTCTGGTAGTTATCACCACCAGACGGGATGTAGATGGTGCCTTAGTCATAAGCAATGGGATTATGAAACAGGGGTGGCATTCACATACGTTTGTTTAGCCTTCTGTTGGGAGGAGATAGAGAGTTTGGGAAACAATGCATGTTCTTCCCTTTTTATTTGGGAGAATTGCACGCACCCATCATTAGTGTTTTCGCTTCCATTTTAACTGTTTGTGTGTCTGTGCTCTTACGGGTGCAGGCCATGGAGGGTGGGTCAGAATCTGCACGGAAGAATCCTGTGTGGCAATCGCAAACGTTAGCGCCGTCCCGAAGCGAGCGGCTGTGAGGAGGGCACTTGGAGCAGCCAGCATCCGAAGACTTGGACTTGTAGAAACCAGCAGAACATGCTGCAGAGAGATGACAGAAGACACCGAATTACTTCTTTAAAATGATGTCGATAAAGAACACCAAAGAGATCCGTAAGCTGCAGTGGTAACAATTTACCTCCACAATAGCTCAGATTTGAATTTACAATGTTGCTTGTAAATGAGCTATTGCAACTGGTTCTATCTGAAGGAATGTTTGTAGGAACCAATATAAAGACAGTCTGTGGTTTCTTCCTTAAAGAGGAAGTATTATGTACTTTCCAGCCATATAGTATCACTTTATACCACAATCAAGTAACTATGTTAACTTCAGTTGTTATGAAAATCGTCTATATACCAAAAACAAGAAATTTGACTTCACCTCATAGCCCTATGCGACGCCTTGGAAATAGCCTCTCTCTAAGAAGCTCCTATCCTTCCTGACACTTCCAACACGTCTCCATGTGTGGCAAGGAGAACATTGCTTCTCCGTGCCATTCATCGATCCCGTTTACAACCATTCTTGGGACCATTTGTGTCGTTAGCTCAGCAGACATGCTGCAGTTTCACAAGATGTTTGCTGATTTCTGTTACCACCAAGCCAGATGGAGGTGTGAAGGAGGGAGGGCCGTTCTGTGTTGCAGGGAGCTCAGCTGGGGACTAACACTCCAAGGTGGATCTGTGGGTAAATGGGCAGTGCGTTGTATGAGCAGGCTGCCGTGGGAGATTTAAGGAATTTTCACACAAAAAAAATGTGTGAATGATTCAAAGGAGCACTCCACATGTGTGTTTGATGAGGGAATAACATTATAACATGACATAAATCTCAAAAATCTCATACTGCTGCTGTACTACTTCCGAACAACTACTACAGTATGTGAAGTATGAGGGGTGGGGTTTAAACATATCCAGTGCCGACTGATTCTTTTCTACTCATTCTTGATAAGATCTCGTTTAGGTTTAGATCTGGACTCCAATATGCCATGCGGAGGTTCTCTGGTGTAGATTCTTCAATCCTGTCCTTAATCTTTAGAGACAGACTCAAGAAACATCAGTTTCTTGAGTCTGTTGGTGTACACCACCTCACAAAAGGTTTACCCACAGAATAAATTTCCAACCAGGTGTTTAGCAAATTCAGAGAAAATTTTGAGAACATTTCCCCAAATTTTTTTTATTTTATTTTTTTCTTGGGATGAAAGAGGCTTTCAGATGCCAGTGGTAGCTACTGAACGTTCTTACTCAAAGAGTGTAAATCAAATATGGGACGGTAAAGTTACAATAAGCCTCACAAAAAAAGCAAAATGTACCACAGAAAAGAAAACATTTAAAAATATAATTGTTTTTTTTTGTGGGGGGGTAGTTGGGGGGTATTTTTGTTATCCACTCTGATGCAGACAGCCTTTTCTGACCTGGGTTCAAATGCAAGTTAATCCTCGATCCTTATTTGTGACATCCTGGTCAATACGTTAATCAGCCATTGCAGTTTTAGGGCTCAAGGACAAACAACTGTAGAGGAAGATCTCAGGAAATAAAAGGATACAGTGCGAGGGGGAGGGGCACTTTGACTTCCATTATCTTGACTTTTGATGAGCGAAGAAAGAAGCACCTAAAAGAACATTAACTGATCAGCTCCCACTCACACGTGGAGAACAGAAACAGTGGAAGTGAATACATCAAAACTGCACAGTCCCGTCGGCCCACACAAACACAACTGACATTTAAATACATGAAAGAGGAGAAACAGAGAAAGAGAGAGGGTGACAGAGAGACGAGGAGGGGTGGCGGAGGGAGGGGAATCTTCTCTCCGTATACCGAGGAGTTCATGCATTGACAGA